GTATGACAATTGCAACTTTTCAATCTATGTTTCATTGTTTTGTTCATAAGTATTCATGCTTAATCTTCAGTTTGTATTCATATGTATCTTACAGGATATATTCATACGTATTCAACAGGGCATATAAGTATGTATTAATATTCAGTCACTTGGCTTGTATATCAAAGTCAGAAACTGTATGCTTCAGGTTTATACGTATGTACTCAACTTGATGTATTTATTTTACTTACTCAGGTTATATGTATTTATTGAAATTGTTATATTATAGCTGAGTATATAGTTGTATTTCGATGTATTTTGACTAGTTATGTATATACAACTCAGGCACTGTCTATAATAAATTGTCTAAGTATATGTGGACAAGGTTGTATTCGAATGTATTCAACACAATACTGCAACTAAATGTATCCAGAATATATTCAGGTTATATGTATTTATTGAAATTGTTATATTATAGCTGAGTATATAGTTGTATTCCGATGTATTTAGACTAGTTATGTATATACAACTCAGGCACTGTCTATAATAAATTGTCTAAGTATATGTGGACAAGGTTGTATTCGAATGTATTCAACACAATACTGCAACTAAATGTATCCAGAATCTATTCACGAAAGGCATTTCAAAATTTATTACTTGACAATGTCATCAGAAGTAATGACAAATCGTTGGAGCACTAATACATGTCAGAGTGTTAACTAAATCCTACGTGGAGCATTTCTACACGTTCGCTTGTTATGTCCTCCTTGCCCACATATGCTACATGAATGTTGATTTTTCGGCTGCAACAATTCACTGAAAGGTTTATCGCGCTTCTTCTTTGGCCTTCTAGGAGGTCTTTTTCATTTGGGTGGTAATACAACCTCCTCTGCAACATGTGCTGGTATATTCCAGTCATTTCTGTCTGGTAGTGGGTACACAAGCACATCGTATGTCATTACAACAGAATTTGGTTTGTAATAGTTAGAGCAATATTCTTCTGGCATTAGAAACTTGCTCTTCAATACAGCCCAAGCATGTGGGCATGGTAATTCATCAACTTGGAACCTCCCACAAACGCATTTTCCCTCTAACAGGCAGACGGTGTAATGTCTCCCTCCATCGTTAACCGTATGTAAGTATTCAGTCGATGGTACCACCTACATTTAAACATAGACCTATAAGTTTTGAGCACATATAAATGAATTTCTTTATGTATAATGCTGAATTATTCAGTTACATACAACTGAAATGTTTGAATACAGAAGAATACATCATATATGTAGACCGCCAGACTATAAAACTATAAATNATTTCAAGTGTTGACGTAAAATAAACTTGGCTGAGTCTTATAATAGTGGAAAATACGTGACTGAGTTCAAGTATATAATTAAAATAGTGAGGAATATCAACAACAATCCCCGAAGGGTTCAAATAGCTGGCACGAAGCCCAAATATGGCAATCAGCCCAAATTATGATGATACCAAGTAAATCTCAGTCAAATACGCAGTAAATTCATCAATCGGGATGGACTAAGTCACAATCCCCAACGGTGCTCTACCCCACGCTCGCTATCGGGCATGCAAGTCACCTCAATATAGCACTACGATGTGCAAATACGGGGTTTCAAACCCTCAAAATATCATTTACAATCATTACTCACCTCGAACCGGCAAAATCTCTAGCTCGCGACGCCTTTGCCCCTCAAATCGGCCTCGACGCGCGTCGAATCTATCCAAAACCAGAACGAATACGTCACAATATGCCAATGGAACAATACCCAATCGAAAACAATCGAAAAATATTAAAAATCTCGAAATTGGCAAAACCCGAGCCCCGAGCCCCGGGCCCACTTCTCGAAACTCAAAAAATTTCTCATCAACGGGTTCCTTATCTCCTCACGAGTTCATACATACCAAAAGTTCTCAAATCCGACCTCAAATGGTCCTTCAAATCCCTAAATCAAATTTCAAAATCCCAAGCCCTAGTTCTTCAATTTTAGGCTTAATTTCCATGAATTTCTAGGTAGATTACACAATAAAAATGAGTTTTAAGTTCTAAAATCTTACCTCCAATCGATTCTCCTAGAATCCCTCTTCAATTTCCTTCAAAAAGCTCTCAAAAAGATCAACAATGGAGTAAATGAGCCCCAAAATCGCGGATGAAATGTTTTAAAATATTCTGCCCAGGTCTGACCCTTCCTTCTTCGTGAACGCGGTCCATCTCTCGCGAACGCGTAGCACAAAATTACACTTACCACCTTTTACCTTACGCGAATGGGACATGCCAGTCGCGAACGCAGTGCTTTCCACAGTTGAACTTCACCTCCACGCGAACGCGATGAACATTTGACCATCAGCTCCAGAACCTCTTTCGCGATCGCGTATCCGCACTCGCGAACGCGATGCAGCCTCACTCAAACCTTCGCGAACGCGGCATAGAACCTCGCGAACGCGTTGCTCACGAACCCAGGCCCTTCGCGAACGCGAGACCCCCTTCGCGAACGCGAAGGCCAAAATGCCTGCAACTGACCTGCAATTTTTCTGCAATATTTCGAAGTTTTAAAACCTCCCGTTAGCCATCCGAAATCGCCCCAAGGCCCCCGGGACCTCAACCAAAAGTACCAACACATCCTAAAATATCATCCAAACTTGTTCCAATCATCAAAACACCTCAAACAACATCAAATAACTCAAAACTCATCGAATTCAAGCCTAAGTTTCCAAAATCCTTCCGAAATACACTTTCGATCAAAAACCCGACCAAACGACGTTCGAATGACCTGAAATTTTGCACACACATCACAAATGACATAACGAAGCTACAGCAACTCTCGAAATTCCATTCCGACCCTCGGATCAAAATCTCACCTAACAACCGGAATTCGCCAAAATACTAACTTCGCCAATTCAAGCCTAATTCTACACCGGACCTCCAAAACCAATTCTGATCACGCTACTAAGTCACAAATCACCTAACGGAGCTAACCAAATCATAAAAACTCCGATCCGAGCTCATATACAAATAAGTCAACTCTTGGTCAAACCTTTCAAATTCAAAGCTTTCAACTAAGACTGCTCTGCCAAATTCATTCCATATTTTTCCTGAAACCAAAACCAACGATCTACATTAGTCATAATATATAACACGGGGCAAGTCATGCCTGAGAACTGGCGATCAAAGTGCAAAAGCTCAAAACGACCGGTCGGGTCGTTACATGAATCTGTGTGATGTATTTAACTGAGTTTTCACTTGTCATATTCATTTTTTTTCTTAGTTTGATTAATTGGACTAACACTATGTAATTAAATTTGTGTATAGCATATTGACGTCATATTCTACTATCTGAGAAAGAAGGGAAAGTACAACCAAACAAGCAACTTCAAGTATACAATTGTTGATTGTATATTCAAGATAAGAATCGCTGAAATCTTCGACAAGTGTGCTGATACAGATAGTAATGCTAATGTAGCCAAAGAAGAGGATGTGGTATGTGTGTACCTAAGGGGCTATAGATTGCTAGCTAATGTACCTTGGCATACTGTTGCAATATCTTGATACCAGTCAACTTGAAGGACAAACTACACTGGATATTGGCTGTTGTCTCATTCAAGGAGAGATGTATCAAAGTGTATGACTCGTACAGATCTGCAGGTCATGATGCCTATGTAGCTTTTGAGATAGATAAGCTAGCTAAGCTTGTACCTCTGTATCTATCAATCACTGGCTTTTACAGAAATAGTCAAGGCATAGATTGGTCTACTTACTCAGCATACACTGACAAGTCACAAACTGATCCCTTTGAAGTTGTTTTCATATCAAATCTACCTCAACAGAAAGCTGGGAGCATGTATGTATTCAATCATCATTCTTGTATCATTTTAAAAATCTAATTGTATGAATTATTTTTAATTGTTTCAATCAACATTTTTTCAGGGATTGTGGGGTACATGTTGCGGCATACGCAGAGTTTCTAAGCACTCTTGGTGAGATTCCACAAATAACATTTGATTCTAATCTACTCCGTCAAATATATGATGCTCTCCTCTGGGACTATGCTATGCGGAAGATAGACGCTGATGCCATAAGCGAGAAGAAGCACCCTCAAAGATTGCTAGGCAAATCACGGAGTCAGATTCAAAGTTGCAGATAGTGTTAGAGTAGCTTTAGGTGAATGTAGTTTTGGAAGGTTGTTTTTAGGTGAATACTATTTTTTTGAATAGTTTTTTGGTGAAGATGGTATTCAATTAGAAAAAACCATTTTTTAATCACTTTATCAACAGTGTTCATGTATGACAATTGCAACTTTTCAATCTATGTTTCATTGTTTTGTTCATAAGTATTCATGCATAATCTTCAGTTTATATTCATATGTATCTTACAGGATATATTCATACGTATTCAACAAGGCATATAAGTATGTATTAATATTCAGTCACTTGGCTTGTATATCAAAGTCAGAAACTGTATGCTTCTGGTTTATACATATGTACCAACTTGATGTATTTATTTTACTTACTCAGGTTATACGTATTTATTGAAATTGTTATATTATAGCTGAGTATATAGATGTATTCTGACTAGTTATGTATATTCAAATCAAGGTTGTATTCGATTGTATTCAACACAATACTGCAACTAAATGTATCCAGAATCTAATCAGGTTATATGTATTTATTGAATTTGTTATATTATAGTTGAGTATATAGTTGTATTCCGATGTATTTTGACTAGTTATGTATATAACTCAGGCACTGTCTATAATAAATTGTCAAATTATATGTGGACAAGGTTGTATTCGAATGTATCCAACACAATACTGCAACTAAATGTATCTAGAATCTATTCACGAAAGGCATTTAAGAATTTATTACTTGACAATGTCATCATAAGTAATGACAAATCGTTGGAGCACTAATACATGTTAGAGTGTTAACTAAATCATACGTGGAGCATTTCTACACGTTCGCTTGTTATGTCCTCCCTGCCCACATATGCTACATGAATGTTGATTTTTCGGCTACAGTAATTCACTTAAAGGTTTATCGCGCTTCTTCTTTGGCCTTCCAGGAGGTCTTTTCCATTTAGGTGGTGATACAACCTCCTCTGCAACATGTGCTGGTATATTCCACTCATTTCTGTCCGATAGCGGATACACAGGCACATCGTAATGGCACTGAAATTGGATACGTTCACGCTTAGGCCTGGTTATGGAAACTCTTTAAGCATAGGCAATTTTTCCTTTTTCATAGGAAACTCCAACTTAAACATGTCATTACAACAGAATTTGGTTTGTAATAGTTAGAGCAATATTCTTCTGGCATTAGAAACTTGCTCTTCAATACAGCCCAAGCATGCGGGCATGGTAATTCATCAACTTGGAACCTCCCACAAATGCATTTTCTCTCAAACAGGCAGACGGTGTAATGCCTCCCTCCATCCTTAACCGTATGTAAGTATTCAGTTGATGGTACCACCTACATTTAAACATAGACCTATAAGTTTTGAGCACATATAACTGAATTTCTTTATGTATAATGCTGAATTATTCAGTTACATACAACCGGATTATTTGAATACAGAAGAATACATCATATATGTAGACCGGTAGACTATAAACTATAATTAGGTCTTAGCTTATGAATACAATGACATACATAAAAAATCTGCTTAACTTTAGGCAACTGAAAAAAAAAACAAAAACATTATAAGGCTACTGCATGACAATACAACTGAATACGTCTATCTAAAAAATTCTGTATAAGTTATTTCAGAAAACAATTAAGCTATATAACACAATGACATTAAAATAAAACGTACAGTCATGCGTGTAGACATTGCCTCATTCAAAGTCAGCATCTCCTGGTATTTTTTTCCAAGCGTTGCGTACGTCTGTGTAGCTTCTTTGCGGTTACTACAATTCCAACGTCCAAACATCTTCCTAACTTCTTCGAGGAAATCGTATATTGGGCGCCTTATGGTGCCCGTGAAGGTTTTCACCAATAAGACTCTCTCATATTTGACTTCTCTTAGCTCCCGTCGCCTTACGGTGCCCGTGAAGGTTTTTACCAATAAGACTCTCTCATTTTCATTATTTTCTTCTGCTTGGACCGGAGTGTTGCCCCTGACATGAATCACCTCCACTTGCTCGACTTGGCATCGCTCGAAAACTGATCGGAAGGTCTTTCTTTGGACCGTAATATGGGCTTTTGGAAAGGGTTAGAAAGAAAGGGTATCAAAGGCTCAAAACAATTCAACATGGGTTCAAAATTACAACTTTCAGAATCCGATTTTTCACAACAACCACAACTNTACAACTGAAATGTTTGAATACAGAAGAATACATCATATATGTAGACCGGCAGACTATAAACTATAATTACATCTTAGCTTATGAATACAATGACATACATCAAAAATCTGCTTAACTTTAGGCAGCTGAAAAAAAAAACATTATAAGGCTACTGCATGACAATACAACTGAATACGTCTATCTAAAAAATTTTGTATAAGTTATTTCAGAAAACAATTAAGCTATCTAATACAATGACATTAAAATAAAACTTACGGTCATGCGTGTAGACATTGCCTCATTCAAAGTCAGCATCTCCTGGTATTTTTTTCCAAGCGTTGTGTATGTCTGTGTAGCTTCTTTGCGGTTACTACAATTCCAACGTCCAAACATCTTCCTAACTTCTTCGAGGAAGTCGTATATTGGCAATTCCCTTGCTGACACTAGTGCGGCATTGATTGACTCAACAATATTTGACGTCATGGTCCATCCCCTGTTAACAGGTGCATACAACCTAGCCCACTTTTCGTATCCAGCTAACTCCAAGTATTCTTTCACCCTAATATCTACCTTCTCCACCTTCTCCATCAGACTGTCAAATTCAGCTTGTGTGTATGCTTTTGCCATCGAGAAGTATATCTCGCTCAACTTTGCATGGCTCTTTTTGAATTTCTTATATACGTTGTTCCATAGATGCCATATACAGGCAAATGCGGTACATCTGGATACACTCTCGATACAGATTTAATGATACTCTCATTTCTATCTGAAACGATGCACATGTTTTCCCTGTCACCATATGCTATCTTGAATTGCTCAAAGAACCACGTCCAAGCAGCATCGTTCTCTGAATCAATAACACCATATGCTAGTGGCAATATATGACCTGTAAAGACAATTGAATACATATTTTTAAAACATGTATTTCAATCTTTAAAATATTAACAGATTTATTATAATTCACGTACTCACCTGCACCATCCAACGTGCTTGCCGAAACGAATGTCCCGGTGTAGTAAGATTTTAGGTGACTTCCATCCACAACCACAATGGATCTACAATGATCAAACCCCTTTATAAAGGCATACAAAGAGACATATATATATATGAATTCATTTTTGGGCGATTTTACCATTATGATGTGGGAACCTGGATATGTCATATCCATTGTATATAAGTATCCTGGTAATTTTTTGTATGAATCAGCAGGTTCACCTCTCAAAAAATTCATTGCCTTTTCTTTAGCCCGCCACGCCAACATGTAGCTAGCATCTACACCTATTTCTGATTTCACATCATCAATAATATCCTTTGGGGTGTATTTCCTCTTATGATTAGTAAGCTTAGGCCTAATCATACCACCTATAAGGCTGTTACTTGCCTGTCGCTGCTCATACACCTTGTCCTTCAGCGGACATGTATGGTTATCAATGAACTCTCTCACTTTGAATAGTTCTGATTTGTTAATGCTTGAAGCTTTAAACCTCCATTCACAATCTTCTGACATACATAATAATGCATAGCTGCAAAGAATTTATCATTATACATATGATTAGCATAAATGTTTACAAAAAATGCACTCATATACACATGAATACAATCTGACATGAATACATTCTGACATATATATATATAAATTATTATACAACTGAATTCAATTATAGTTATATGCATTTAAATACAATGAATACAACTGAATACAATTATTGTTATATGCATACACTTAAAATGGACAGTAAGCAAAATACGAAAATAATTAAAGACACTGTAATGTAATTATACCAGTAAAATACATATGAATACATGTATTTAAAGACCATAAACAAACAGATGTTAAACACATCAGTGATGATCAAGTGGAAATCCACAAATACGCATAAATACATCAATGTATTACTTATAGCTCCAACCAATAATACAAAATACAAAAAAAAAAATACACGCAAACCTGACAGCATTAGACCTATCAACCCGGAATTGAAACCTTTGAGATATAGCATAATTCTCCATCACCTCTTTCAATGTAGCCTTATCCTTATATACTTGTCCAACAATAACCTCCCTTTGATTAGTTTTTGAAATTATCAAATCCTTGTCCAGTTCAAACACCCCAATTTCTCCTGAATTAACAAAATCTAGAGCAAGCGTATCATCTGTACCGGAATCATACCTTTGAAGTGATTCGTCTATTTGCACAATATCGCCTTGACTTAAACTACCACCGAATACAAGTTCTTTTTCAATCGTTGTTATGCACAAAGGATACATCCCGAATTCTCTGTTCTCTTTTTTCAACTCTACATACACCCTGTAACCCATGTCATTGTGTATTTCCATTGGCGTGCTATTCCCTTCTACTTTGTATTGAATTTTAATGGACTTTGTGCTCAAATCTATGCCCAGTTGATTAGAAATTGACGCAACCAAATCATTATACGACGCATACTCCTTTATCAGTATTCCCTCAATTTAAAAAATTGATGTAATTGCTCTCATCATTTCACTTGCCAGAATGACGCAACAACATTGTTAAACTCGCCATATGTATAATGGAATTATACCGTATTTTGTATACAATTGTATCAATCGCACTTTTTCATGGTTGAATTGAGAACTGGGAACAGAGAAAAGGGAGAAGTGAAATTCCAGATGTTGCTCTTGTTTTCGCTATTTTTCTTGTTAAATCGTGAATGGAAGAATACAGATTAATGGGTAATAGTTTTTGTTCGTTGAGTTAAATTAGGAGAATATCAGGTAATTTGATTTCCTTTCCGTTTTTAACAAGTTCAACCTTCCAGGTTTTACGCAAATACGTTACTGTATTCACGATAAGGCCGCGTGAATACAGTCGAATACATATCAACCTTAGCTGGAATTCCCTTTTTCATGCCTATTTTTGCTATTGTATTAATGAATACAATAGCTTAAATACATCAAATACATCTTATAACCACATAAAAGGTATCTATAACACGTAATATAGCAAAAGGTATTTATAAATGGCTAATTACACCTAAAGATAGTGCTTTATGAAAAATTCTCTTTTTAAAAAGTTCATTATCCAACCCATTTTGTAATGGATAATTATTTTCTTTTAACCATTTTGCCACCTCTACACATAGCAAAATGAATTTCCTCATCAAATTTACTTCGAAAACGTCTTGTTTTGATTTTCAGAAATCAAAATATGCTCTTTCTGTAGCCAAATGATTTTCAATTTGGTTTACGAAGAACTTAAAACTTTCCAGACACCCTACCTCTATGATTGCGAGTTAAAATTGGATAAATATGATACTTTTTGGGTGGTCTACAACTTTTGACCCCGCTTGTCCAATGGGCAGAACTTCGACGTCCAAAGTTAAAAGTATTGCCCACAAAGCAAGCGAGGGCAACATTTGTTAAACTTAAAATTCTGCCCATAAAGCAAGTGGGGATAAAAATAAGGATCGTTCAATTTGGTCAAAATGGCATGGCATAGCCATTTTTACGGGTGGTTATTAAGAAATGGCCAGTATTGCAAAGTTTTTGAAAAGTAGCCACTATATAAGGTGGAGATAAAATCTGAACAGATGTACCCTATCTAAAACACAGAAAGTTCCAACATAATATGTTGGATCATGGAACTCCTGCATAGAAACTTCCAACATATTATGTTGGAACTCCAACACGTGATGAATTCCAGGACATTATGCTGAAATCTCATATATAAAAAATTCGAATTCCAACATATTATGCTGGATTTTTTTCCGGATTTTTATGGGTATTTTTTATCGAATTTTATTTTAACATGAAAAAGTAGCTTGATATCTGATATTAAGGCTAATTTTCAATTAGTTGTAAATCAAACTATTTCTCGTTTTTTTCCTCCACTTTGACTTTTGAGGGCAATAATGGGATTCAACTTTAGGCCACAACTAACTGTTTAGGGAAAAATTCAAAAATAGTCAGATTTACAAGTGGTCATTCAAAAATAGCCACAGTTTTAAAAGTAATCAAACTTTAGCCACTTTTCATGTAAAGATAAATCTGAACGAAAACACTGTTCAAAATCCGAAAAATACTCCAATATATTATATTGGACTTCCAGCATAATGGAATTCCAGTATAATATACCAGTCCAGCATAATATGCTGGAAGTTTATACACAGGTGCTCCAATCTCCAGTATATTATGCTGGAACTTTCCGCGTGTTGGAGTTCCAGCATAATATGCTTGAAATTCATACACAGACGCACCGATCTTCAGTATATTATGTTGGAACTTTCCGTGTTGCAGCAAAATAATTGCTATTTTTCAATGACTTTACAAACGATGACTATTTTTGAATGACTAGTCCAAAAACTGGCTAGCCCGTGCTATTTTTACAACCGTTTATGGTAAAAGCAGAAAATTGGGCTTCTCCAGATTTGGGCCGGGCCTTGAGGAAAGACAAGAAATTCGAGGCCCGCTTCTAGTTTCTATGGAGATTAAGCTAACCAAGTCATGAACGAAATGTCTTTCTTTACTCTCTACTATATATAGCTGACTCAGAATCGTTAGAATTTGCAATTTCCTCATAATAAAATGTGATATAATATAGATTTGAAAACCCTTTATTAATTTATCTTTCGCGAAACAAACTGTGGTATCCAAGGTACCGAATAATAAGCGATTGGCTCACAATGAGTTTGTTTGAAATCATTGGTTAATAATGAGTCTCTGGGTTCCATAAAATCTAATGCTCTCATAGAAATTTTACATATATGCAGAAAGTAATAAAAATAGACTATGACTTATATTTTAACATTCACTCTTTTGAAGTAAAATATATCCCTTCCGTCAAAATTATGACTTCATTACACCAAATTGCGCCTATATACTCATTTTACCTTCTCTCTTCGCTATGCAATTATTGAGATAAAAAATTTCGTCTCTAAGACATAGCTAGAAGATAAGGATCTTAGACCCAAAAACTGATGGAAATGAAGAAGATGATAATCATCAGAGAAGGAAGCCACGTGTCACGTAGAAACAAGCACGTGTCCATGCAAAAGCCACGTAACTCCCCTCTCTCACATCTTCCTTCTTCAAAACCTCGTGTTTTACTCCCCCTCGTCAGGACTGTGCATGTTTGTTTAAAAATTAAAGGCAATGTCGGATAAAAAATCTGTCTCGACGCCATTTCAATGTTGCAGAATCTTGTTTAAGTTTCTGCTGGTTATGGTTATTATCAGTAATGTGGCGATAACTGTAACAGCTTTGACAGAGCAAGAAGGAACCCCAGGTAGGGAATGGGGTTTGGGGCCTCTGGTGAAGAGAGGAGAAAGAAAATCAGTAGTTTCAACTGAAAATGGGGAGGTCTCTTCAGTCAGAGTGGCTGATGGAATCGCCGGCTCCTATCATCTTCAGTTCATCACATTGGAGCCCAATTCTCTCTTCCTTCCTGTTGTTCTACATGCAGATATGGTCTTCTATGTCCACACTGGTATTGATTTTACATTTTTGACTCTCTTTTTTTTTTACTTGATCTGTCTCAACAAAGGCCTTCAAAGAGAAATGAAAGGATTTTTTTAGCATTTTTCCACTTTATCCAAGGAATCCCTTTCTTGGCATTATTTTATTTGTTTCATTGGTAAATTCAACTATGTATTTATTTTTGATTTCGGTGGAATGCTGATTGAAGGGTCGGGAAGGCTGACTTGGATGGATGAAACTGAAGAGAAGTCAGTGGATTTAAGAATTGGAGATGTTTTCAGGCTACCTTTTGGAACTATTTTCTTCATAGAGAGCAACTTAGAGCCTGCGCGACAGAAACTTAGAGTTTATTCCATCTTTGCCAATTCAGGGGATGATTTGCGCGTAATATTCTTTGTTCTCGTCCACTATGTTAATACTTAATTTTGCATTTTTCTTGATCAAAGATGAATTTCCTCGTATATATGCAGGAGCCATCGTCCGGACCATACTCCAGCATCCGTGATATGGTTCTTGGCTTCGATAGGAAAGTTCTCCAGGCGGCATTTCATGTAACTCTCCTCTATTTTATTTAAACATATAATTGTATAGTATGAGTTCAGATTTTGTGCACTATCAATATATAGATTTAACTCTTTGTAAAATGTCTAATATATTTGGAAAGAAGAGTAATTACCCATTGTAGCAGGTTAAATTGCATTGTTAGTATAAAAAGTTGTTATACTGTTAGTATATAGAGTATAACTTAAATTCATTTTGTGTTCTTTCTGGTTTTCCGTTTTTCTGCTAATGTACTAAAAAGAGTCATGTTAAGGGGTAAATTTTGACTATGTATGCAAAAATTTCTTTGTGAAGGTACCGGAGGATGTGATAGATGAAGTGTTGAATGGGACAGAAGTACCAGCCATCATACATGGTGTGCCCAAGACAACAAAAAAGACCCTGTGGGAAATGGAGGCTCAATTCATGAAAAGCCTACTAGGAAGGGGCGGTCACAATTTCTTTGACTCCCAAAGCAATAAAAAGAAGACTGAATTGTTCAACATTTTCAAAGAGAAACCAGATTTTGAGAATTGCAATGGCTGGAGCACTGTAATAACACGGAAAAAATTACCCGCATTAAAGGGTTCCCACATTGGTATTTATGTAGTGAACTTGACCAAGGGATCAATGATGGGGCCACACTGGAATCCAACGGCAACTGAAATAGGAATAGCATTGCAAGGAGAAGGAATGGTAAGGGTAGTTTGCTCAAGCACTGGAACAGAGCAGGGGTGCAAAAACATGAGGTTTAAGGTGGAAGAAGGAGATGTATTTGCAGTACCAAGGTTTCATCCTATGGCTCAAATGGCTTTCAACAACAACTCATTTGTCTTTCTTGGGTTTAGTACAACTACAAAGAGACATCATCCTCAGTACCTAACAGGGAAGGCTTCAGTCCTCCGAACACTGGATAGGCAAATCTTGGTAGCTTCCTTTAATGTGACTAACACAACAATGGATCGGATTCTGGAGGCACAGGGTGAGTCAGTCATACTAGAGTGTACATCTTGTGCTGAAGAAGAAGTGAGATTAATGGAGGAAGAAAGGAGGAGGGCAGAGGAGGAAGCTAGAAGAAGGGAAGAAGAGGAGGCGAGGCAGAGGGAGGAAGAAAGGAGGAGGGAAGAAGAGGAAGCTAGAAGGAAGGAAGAGGAAGAAGCAAGGAAGGCTGAAGAAGAAAGAAGAGAGAGAGAGGCAGAAGAAGCAAGAAGACGAGAAGAGGAGGCAGCAAAGGAGAAAGAGGAACAAAGGAGGAGACAAGAGGAAGAAGCCAGGAGAAAGGAAGAGGAGGAAGCCAGGAGGCAAGAAGAAGAAATCAGGAGGAGACAAGAAGAGGAGGAAGC